TTCATGGTGTATAAAGAACCCCATACAGAATTATACATATACGGCATATACAAGCGTAATACATAACGTTTTCTCAGAGCGATCGGGTGCGTACTTTTCGAATTCCTGTCGTTTTGCTGAACTTATTTTTACTCACGAAAACACATTTTCGAACAGCGTCAGAAATAATGAAACATGGCTATTGAAGGAATATTACGGAATGATACGAGCGTTAAAACGAGGAATAATGTATTTCAGCTCGTGAATTTTCGAAAACAAGTATATACTGTAATACATTATACTGCATAGAAAAACCATCAGGACATTTTCCATATTAGATGATGCAAACGAATATTTTCCAAAAATTGCTGAACATTTTATATATAGCAGTATATTTTGGAAATCTTACAATACTCGCTTTTGCAGAATAAGAGACCTTCATAGCCGAACTAAGTCCGTCGTATCGGTGCAATATGCAGCATAAAATACACTTAACACTGTTACAGCATCCCAACATGGCACCACGGAATCACATGACCTTTACTTTACGGCGCGGGTCACAAATGAGCTTCATTATTGAAAACTATAAAATCGACATTATTTCAAAATAAAATGTACCGTCAAAGTTTCTTGATTAGGTTGAACAGAAGTACAAAACGCATCATAAAAGCAGTACTCACGATCAACGGACCAGGTGCTGACACATTCAGCGCCACACGCAGTTCCGTATTTCGATGCTCCACACAACCATGGGTGCACGCACAGCCCTTTGATGCAGCAGCAGTGGGATATGGATGTCTCTCATCTCACGTGGTTCGAACGACTCAATCTAGATGGCAGCAGACGCGCGATGATGATGATGATGATGATGACGATGGCGACCATGACAGTTTGACGGGGATCGGCCAGCCGGGAGCAACAAACGGATGACGGTCAAAAGTTCTCGATCATCCGGTAGATGCCGGTGTAGCCGCAGAGCCGGGCTCGGAGGGCGGGCAGGAGCTGCGCCGCCTGGACGAAGTTTTCCAACAGGTTTGAGCACTCCACAAACAACAGGTACACGACGCTCCCGCGCGCACCCGAAGACTTGAGCAGCGAGATCCGCTTGAGGCCCACACACTTGGGCAGGGACCGGTACAGGGCTCTAGCACCTGCAAAACACACAGCTCTTACAGTACAGTACTGTATTGTAAAAATATACCACCCCTGTTATCAGCATTGAAACTGATATACAGGACTCTCACACTGCAAATGGAATCAGCAGAAACGGGACAGTAAAAATCCTGGCAAATAATGCAGCAAGTTCAGTTCAAAATATTTTTTGATACAGAAAGATTGAGTTGGTAGTAAATCCATCTACAGTTGAACCTTGATAACTCAATTTCCCTAAGTCGAATTTGTTCCTTTTTTTTTTTTGCTACAAGAGGATTAAGTTGGTAAATCCATCTACAGTTGAAACTAAATAACTGAAACCTCCTTCAGTCATATTTATTTCAAGTCTCTGCCTGAATCCCCTTAAAACCTATCCATTAAAAAACTTCCCCAACTGGAATGCTTTTCTTCCAAAACCTCCATAACTCAAATTTTCTGTTTTAGACCTCTTGTCCATTCATTTCTTGACACAGGAAAGAGAAGAGCAATAAAAAATTAACTTGATGTATTTTGAAAGGAAGTGAAAGACTAATTGGACAAATGAACCCATGCCTCAAAGTTCAGCATCCTGTCAACTCATCTATCAAGCAATTTGAGGCCCAGAATATTACTCATTCACAATATCTGGCAATTCTTATATTTTTCCCCAAATAAAAATGCATTTTCTCTAACTCAAAATCTCCTTACGTTGTATTTTGAGAGAGCAGCAAACAAATCG